ACGTTCTCTCTCTCTCTCTTCTCTCTCTCTCTCTCTCTCTCTCTCTCTCTCTCCTCCGCGCGGATACTTTTATCGGTTCATCGAGATATTTTTACGTGACGAGGGCAACGTTTCGCTGAGAACGCCGATTCCGACCGTGGTCGACCGACGTCGGCGGATTTGCCTCTCTTACGTTACGCGTCGAATTCTCTAATTTCCAAGATGCTTGTGCGTGAAAATGAATAACGCCGCATGAAAAACGATTAGTCGGCATCTTGCAACAACGAGTTTACGTCGAGTCCTTGGAAATTACTCCACCGCATGCGTCAAATCGTAAACTTGCTGCAGATTAGAAGATTCGAGTCGCAAAAAAGGAAAGAAATACCACGATATGTCAATACACAATACTCGCTATGACGTAAAAATGGCACGTGGCGATGCATATAGACTCAAGATTAGAAAGACTTTTTTTGCAGAGGAAAAAGGAATCCGGCGAATAACACATAACGTAACGACTTTCGCAATCTTTTCTTGGCGCTTCATCAAAACTCTTGAAGCGCGCAATAAAAGTTCATGTAAATGTGAGATGTTTCTTAATGTTATAATTGCAAAATATATATATATATCTGTGAAAAGCAAAGAAAAAAAATAAAATATATATCTTGAAAATCTTGCGATTATACTTCTGCAATTATATATATATATCTTTGCAATACTAAGCATTTCTTTCAAGTCATAAGTGAAAATACATCCATTTTTCTATAAAAGCATTAATAATATAACGCGTTTCATGCAAAACGCGAGTATAAAAATAAGATCCGACCTAAGTCATGAATATCACGAATGCACTTTAAAATAAAAATCAAGAAAGGTGCACGACAAATGATAAAGGCCTTACCGAATGATAAAGGCCTTCAGGGAGGCTTACCTGTCGAAGGTTGAAGTTACGTTTTCTCTAAAATACATAAGAAACACACATTGTAAATACTAAATTTGCGTTTGCTAAGCGAAGCATATAATAAACAAAACCTAATAGACTCAATTTTTATTCAGTTCGAGGAGAAATATAATTTTAAATAAAACAAGTGTAGAAAATGCGTTTCTGTAAACCCTGTAAACAGAACACCTAAAATTGACGCATAAGATAACTTCAAGATATCTTTCAGACTTCTTTATGAAATATCTTAAAAATGTTTGTTTAAAGAAATTCTTAAAGATATCGTAAAGTTATCTTATACGTCGATTTTAGACATTCTACTCACTGGGAAGATCATTGATAAATTAAGCTTTCTTCGTGTGATGCATCTTTCCACATACTTTTTATTTTTTAGTATTTTTTAGTATTTATAAGTATTTTTTTCTAAACTTACCTTGGACGATGAGCTAATGCTAGTTGTTGATAGGCGGTCAGATTGATCTGCGATACGTTCTCGCCGGAAACATTGCTAGCTACGAAGAGCTTGGCCAGGTCCGGGGTATCGCTTTGATATCGCCGCATATCAGTTTCGCTTCCCGCCGGATTTTCCTTTTCAGATTCTGACGTTTCGTTCTCATCGGTGTCATCATCCAAGTCCAACGAGTCCGGTATTACCCTATAAATATCGTCTCCGACCCATTCCAAACCCTCGTACTCGTTTTTCCTGGTCGTATTGCCTGTGCCATTGTTCGCTGAAGTATTGAAATCTAGCCTGCACGTAATAGACGTATTTGTGGCAGTGGTGTTCGTGACGACAGCCTCCGGAAATTCTGTCGTGCTGTCGAAGGAAGGCTGATTCTTTGGATAATCCGACTTGGCGCTTTTAAAATTATTCAGCTGATATACCACGGGAAGTGGAGTGTGCCCAGTAGCCGCAGAAGAAGCAGACGAAGGAGAAGAAGTAGACAATGACGAAGCGTGAAAGGAGTTTGCAACGTTCCTCGCAGTGGTGCGTTTCCAGGACGAAGGAACGTGATGTTTTAGGCCCTTCGACGAGACAAGGTCTCTGTCTATAAATTTTAATTCCTCATCAGATTCGGAGCTGGAATCGAACTCGGAATCGTCATAGGGGATCTTGAAGATCACGTGAGGCTGCATGGCTTGGTCGAAGCTCCGACGAATATTCTGCGACGGGTTCCACGCTTCCGAATTTCTCGTCTCGTCTTCATAATCAAAATTCGCAGGTTCGGACCACGACTGCTGCAGCTCGAGCTTGGAAGCCAAGTTCTCGTAATCGATCACCGCCTGGCGGTTATAAGCGTCAAAGTCAAAGTCTTTATCGTAAGAAGATTTTTCCTCTTGACTCTTCTCTTCATCCCTCACGTCGTCTACGTCAGGATCGTTATGAGAGGAGGAGGATACGAATTCCATGGAATTATAATTCCAATGCTTCGGCTTGTCCCTATATAGATTCTCATTGTAGAATTTTTTTCCTTTGGATTCCTTTTCCTCTAGTTTTCTCAGTTCTTCATCCCTTTGCTTATCGAGTTCTCGCTCGCGAATCGCCAGTACTTCTTCGGGCGTGTAATTCAAACTCTTCAGCAGCAACATGTCTGACGTGCCGAGATCACCTGTGATTATCTTTAGGATCGCCTTCTCCATCATTTTCTCTAGTCTCCGGTCACTGCGAGTTAACTTTTTGCTAATTAAAGCCTCTGAGTATTCTTCATTTTTTTTCAATAAGTCAGGCTGCACAGTAGGCTCTGTGGTTTCATTTTCAATGTCAGATTTTCGTTCGGCGTTCATGTGACTATTTTCTCTCTTGTGTTCTGAATGATGAACATGATAATGACGATGATGATGAGACCATGCATTGGTCGCAATGAATATTAATAAGAGAAACACAACGGATTTGGTGCCCATTATCGCAGGTAATGAAAAATTGCTCGAACGATATTTGATTACGACGACAATTGAAGCACTCGTGTCAAAAATTGGATAATCTTAAGAGAGATAAATAATTTAGAATGCTCAATTTTGTTTCTAAAAATGATTTTAAAGCTAAGTGGATGATCACTGAAAATTGTGTCAAGCCCGGAAAATTTCTGGTGAATACTTGGCCGGGCTGCAGCCTACGAAAATAATCTCCGAGTTTCAGGAAAAAATAGCCGATAATTTTTATCTTTAGAAGTATTCTTCGATCTTCTTGCTTTTGAATCGTCAAAGCTCATTCAAAACAATTCGGTATCGCGTTATATTATGTCTCTTATGTCTCTACTTCCGATTTGTACTTCTCGCTCACCTCGCGGAATCACGCAAGAAGACGACAACCAGAAACGTCGCGCGATTAAGAAACCATCTCAATCGCGCGTGTCTTTTGAGTCTCTTCAAGAATTCGTGAAAATTTCTCCGACTTTGAGACGTCACCGTCGCGGGTGGCTCCGTACTACTCCGTCACCTAGCTGCCTGGCGCTTCTTCGAACGAGGGAACTCCGCAGCACGTTCAGCACGTGAAGAAGAAGAAGTAGTAGAAGAAGAAGAAGAAGAGGAGGAAGAAGAAGAAGAAGAAGAAGAAGAAGAAGAAGAAGAAGAAGACACCGTTTTGTACGGAGGCGCGTTAGCAAACTGGACCGTGATTGGTCTGCCGGCGGTCACGGACTAAGTTCTAATCGCACGAGGAAGACGCGAGGTGCGTAAGTAGGAAGGATTCGTAGTATGCGTGTGCACGCTCTGAGCAGTAAGTTTCAACTGAGCCGTGGTGCTGGCCAGCTCACAGACATAATTCTGTCTACTCACTAATTCCGAGACAACCACGAAGCCGCGAGAGGAGACGCGCCGGTGTGTTACTACGATGACTCCTTTTTTCTTCCCTCTCCTCCCCCTCTATCCCTCTCTTTCTGCCTCCCTCTCGCGGTCTCTTTCTCTCTCTCCACCACCTCTCACGTTGTCTCCACTCTTTCTCCTCCACTCGTTCAAACCTGGGTAACCCCTTTTCCTCGCGCACCGAAATCCCGCGGAGGACAGCCTTTTCTCTCCTCGCGACGTTTTACCTCTTTCTTCTTCTGCCCCTTCTTCGCCACCGTTTCCTCTTCTTTTTCGTTCACTTTTTTGTATTCTTCCACCTCGGCGCGAATCTGCCTCCCGTTGATGATTACCAGAGATCGTGTGCCGAATCGAATTGATCCCTTGACCAAATTTCCGATTGTCTCGATGTCTTCTTTTCCTCAGTCACTTATCTGTGATATCTGTATTGGTCATTTCAAATTTTATAAATTATATCGAATCATCGGCTCCGTGTCTCAATCATGCAAATACTCACAAGGCAAGAATCTACACACACACACACACACACACACACACACACACACACACACACACACACACACACACACACACACACACACACTATATATATATAT